GGGGGGTGGAGAGAGAGAGAGAGGGGGGGGTTATAAATTTCAGCCGCATCTTTCGGAGAACACGCTTTTGGTTCCCTGAAATATTCAAACTCCCGACGTCGCCGACGCTTAGCGACAATTGTGTTTAATTGTCGGGAAAATATGCGTCCGACGTTCCTCCGCTTCTTGTGTCGCTCTCGGTCGTTCGCAACCTACCTCGTTCTACTCCTTCTTCGTCCCCTCTATTCCTCCTTCCGCCAGCTTCAAGCTCGCGCTCCCCGTTTCTACGGCATCGCCATCCCGGGCTCTCACGGTCCGTTCATTAAGTCCGGATCTTAGACCCTCGGGGCGAAAAGTATAGTTAAACAAAACGGGCCGTCGAGTGCGCAGCCATCGCGGAGAAGGAGATGGGATATGTATATACATGTATAGAAGGACTGACGTCGGTCGCCGTTGGTCGTCGAGGGACTGGCTAAAATGACTGGTGCTCGAGTTGTGGCCTGGAGGTAGCAATGCCCGCCTCGAGCGATCTTCCACAATGCGAATAAACCCTGAGGCGTCCGTGTGCCTCTCTTGAACTCTGTCGGTCGCTACCCTTATTTCAGTCACGATATTGACGAACGCCTAGACTTTCCTTTGTGTTTCTATGGCTTAGTCCATGGCAGCCTGAATGCCCGTAGTTTTCGGTAACCCTGGGACACCGGTGAATCGCCTTCGAAAGTCTTCAGGGTTGGGTCACCTTTAACTCTCGGAAGACACGTTGTTTTTCCGGTTGCACCAGGCTCCTCGTACCGGAGGCTCCTACCGATTAAGCTTCCTGGCACGGAGTCGATGGCAGCAAAGAGCGAAGCCCCACTTTTAGGGTCAGTGGAGGAAGTTTACGAGGAGACTCACCGACTCGGTCGCTTTAATACCCTTATCTCCGTTGTAAACTCATATCAAGCCGAATGGAAGCATGAAGCCAAGAACTTTTCAACGAGTCAGACTATACGCTCTGCTCTCTCTCTCTCTCTCTCTCTCTCTCTCTCTCTCTCTAGTTTCTCTCCTACTCTCGTCATCTCTAGCACACTAACTCTCTTCAATCGAAAATTCACCCTAGACTCTAGACGCTCCATCTAACTTTATCATTTTACGATTTGATGCTGACTTCTGAATTTTTCCACGGCACCGCTTCTGCTTCCGGTTTTTCTTGTTGTTACGATAAACACCCGTGAATTTTGTACCGGTGTTCCCATCAGCCTGGTTCTCATCTTTTTTCTTTTTTCCTTTTTTTTTTTTTACTAGGCTTCATCCACGCCGAAAAGAAACATCGGGAAATTTCTTTCCCTTCAAATCCCTTACGTCTGCTTATATATACAATATATATATATATATGTGTGTGTGTGTGTGTGTGTGTG